TATTCATTGAGCAGTATACTCTTTCACATTGAATCATAACAAGTCATACTGAATGTAAATACAACTGACTCTAAAGTAAGTCCCAGTCTGTGACATTGGACATTTTGAAGACTCAAAGTCCCAAGCAGGTAGAATATTACCTAGTCTATGTAATGTGCACAGGAAATAAATAGTTAACTGAACACTGGGATGGAAATTGCCTATCAGTAAAACATAAACACACACAAAAAGCTTCTGAATGATAAGTATAATTAAAACATAATACACATTACCATTTTGAGAGAGAGTACTACGTTAAAGAACTCAGAAAATAATCTCTTATCGAACCGAGGCTCCAGTAAAACACACTGACTGCGTCTCTACGTGGACATCATGGTGTTTAAATGAGCATAGAGAGATCGGGTTATTCATGTTCCCTGTTTACATGATAAATACTAGTAACCTGGCATTTCGATGCCTTTTCTCATCTAAACTATTAAGTATTTAAATCTCTCTATCATGACATAAAGACGAAACTCCTCTCCAGAAGTGAGACGCTTTTGCCGCCGCCATCACTGTTAACTGATTAACTGCTACCAGCTGATGACTTACTTTCCTCTTCTTTGAAAAAAATGTTCTTATGTCCATGTTGTCTGGGGGAGAAAACATATCAAACCAAGAGATCGTCAGCTTTGATGTTCGCTGTATTAACCATTTCCTGAACATTTGGTGTGTGTGCCTTACCTCCGCTACCGGCATCGCTTCATACAACAGATCTAAGCTGTCCAACTATGGCAACACTCCTTGAACATGCTCGCGCTATGGGAGAATCTGCCTTGGTACAAAGTAGCAGTGAAAACATGGTACGGAGTTTCATTGATTTGGGCATTCTCTCAATAAGCAAGTGGAATGGATTTGACAGTGAAGCACTGACACAGCGCTCTGCAAAGTGCGGCGAGTGGATAGACCGATTCACGGACTTTCCACATGGTAAAAGTGGGGGGGTCTAAACTAATCATTTGAAAAGGTGGGGGGGACTTGTCCCACCCTCATATAATGGCTGTGAGCCTACTTATTCCACCTCTGGTAGCGTATTAGTCTGAATTGTAGCCACAAAATCACGCAGAGATGCATAAAAATAGACTCACAATGGTAAGAAGTGGAAAATAATATTTACAAATGTGTACAATGATTTGTAGGTAATGTTGATGTAACCGGTCTGGTTTGACGCCACATGTGATCTCTGCGTTGTGTTGTGTTGTGTGAATGCAAACGACTTATTTCTTGCCAACAAGGATTTATTCCCTGTGCAAAACAGAATATAATAATTAAAGCAGGAAATGGCTTCATCAGCTTTCTAACTTCACACTTCTCCTCAGTGGGGCCTGAAGCTAACTCAGGAAAGTATACAGAGTTCTAAATAATACAATTAACAGATATACATCTATCCATGGTGGCAAACCGGCTTTTCTTTGTAAACCAATATACACAAATATAACCATTAATTTACACTTACATAACAAACAATACAATTTAGTTACAAAACACGAAAAGAATACCCACATACCTGTGCAAAACAGAATATAATAATTAAAGCAGGAAATGGCTTCATCAGCTTTCTAACTTCACACCTTCAGTGGAAGAAAACACGCACATGTTAGGTTAGCATATAGCTAAACTTTAGAAAGCTCCCAAACACTGTTTGAAGCGCTGCACATTATATAAACTACAGTCACACACGGCAACATATAGATATTAACTGCAAATAGGTTTGGCTTGTGTGAAGTGTAACATTAAACAATCTATTAACATATAAAATACAACATTTATGACACCACTCGTCCCACTTACTTCTCCTCAGTGGGGCCTGAAGCTAACTGAGGAAAGCAGCATGTGCCGGTGCCAAGAGTACCAAAATAAAATGTACTTTTCAAAATAAAAGCATCTAAAAAATAAAGTGACAGTGACAAGTTTTACAAATAAAGTATGGACAAAAATGATTTTACTGAAATATAAACAAGTGAAGTTATACATTGGTTACATTGACTACTCAAGACACCTGTCTTATACATCTTCAAAGGAAGACTGTGTTTCTTCTACAATTACGTGGGATTAAAGGAACATGTAGTTTTACTTGTATAATACTACAAGACTTTATATAACAGCCTGTTTAATACAATTATCAACCATAGCGACGCAGTCAAATCCTCAGTTTATCATTTATAGCAACATACTAACAAGCTAATGTCTAATTACAACAGTGAGTGCTTCCTCCTCTGAACACCACAGGATGGTGACTGTAACCATCCTGTGATGTACTGACATAGGTACGCTCCTCTGAAATGATTGTCGCCTGCATAAGCAATTATCCCTCATTGAGTTCGCTATTCAGCTAGCTAACATTACTATCTTAAACAAACGTAACATGCAACGTTAGCCTAATCCAAAATGCTCTACTACGGCGTACCTTTCAAGTGGCTCGTCAGCGCAGACTCGCGCATCGTGAATAACTGAAAGTCTTTTTTGCACACTTTGTTTGCAGGAGGCTATTCGTGGGGTTGATCCACGTCTTAGTCATGGCTTGTATTTGTCTTCTGCTAGCCAACGCTCGTTGAAACGGCAACTTCCTGGCATACTGTCATCTATCACTCTCATTAGAATGCCCAGGTTACACGTAAAAAAAAAACACATAGCATAGCGCGGGAAGGACGGAGCGGAGCTGTTTTATGTAGAAGCGAAGCAATTAAGCGCTCTTCGACTTCTTTCTTTTCTTTTAATCTAAAAAGCGACAGCAATTTCTTGTAAAAGTAAAGCATTTACAATTTCAACAGGGTTCATACACTTTTTCACCAATGATTTTCAATGACTTTTCCATGACTTCTCAATGACCTTTACCTAATTTTCCATGACCAAAAAAAAAATTACCACTGAAAATGGTTTATTTTAACATGGAACAGGAACATAAGGTCTGCATATGAAACATGTAGTGCCTATCTACAACAAATCAAATAGTAGGCTTACTAGCTTCTACACGCTAAAGAAACTGTAGTCAGGGAAGCAAACTCAGGTATGAAAAAGGTGACAAGGATCCGAGCCCCCCCCCCCCCGACCCCACGGAATATCGGCTTTAAAATGAGGAATAACAGAGGATTTTAGCAGTCAGAACAACTAAAGCAGCAGTCAATAATAACAGAAACGCCAAAGAGTCACATCTAATAGAAATATATTAAAGCATTTATTTGAATTGTGTAGCAGTCAGTTTATAATTCTGGCAGCACTGTTGAGTATTTTGAAAATGTATTTTCATGCCTCTGTGCAAGGCTTAGTCTTTCTATCTGTATAGCCATTGGTGTAACTAAATTCATAAACTCAACAAGTACTATACGTGGGTACAATTTTAAGATACTTGTACTTTATTAAGTATTTCAATGTTTTGCTACTATGTTCTTCTACTCCTCTACAGTTCAGAGGTACATGGTGTACTTTTACTCCACTACATGTATTTAATCCCTTTAGTTACTTCACAGATGTGGATGAATGATGTGAAATATAATCAAGTGTTAAATCAGACTTTAGTTCCACCTGGAGTAAATCCACAAACTACCCTGCAGTATACTAAAGTCATTCAGACTAGCTGCACCTTTACCAGCTTTGAGAACACTTTCATGATCAATCATTATAAAACATATCATATATTATTCTGAAATGGACCAATCTGCACAATGACTACTTTTACTGTCGCTACTTTCACTATATTTTGATGATAATACTTTTCTACTTTTACTTGAGGAACATTTTGAATGCAGGACTTTTACTGAAACAGAGTATTCCTAAACTCTGGTACTTCTACTTTTACTGAAGTACAAGATCTGAGTACTTCTACTTTTACTCAAGTACAATATCTGAGTAATTTTACTTTTACTCAAGTACAAGATCTGAGTACTTTTATTAAGTACAAGAGCTGAGTACTTCTACTAAAGTACAAGATCTGAGTATTTCTACTTTTATTAAGAACAAGATCTGAGTAGCCTACTTCTACTAAAGTACAAGATCTGAGTACTTTTACTCTAGTACAATATATATACTTATACCACTTCTGTTTATAGCCTATGAAAAAAACGAAGGCTAAAGCTAACGTTAGCAGATGCTAGATAGCGACCATAGCATTGCGACAGAAAAACGTTTCAGTTCACATCACGCTCTGCCGCTCTGCTCTGAACACCTGAACGGCCCGTTCTAACAGCTGTTCACCAGCGGCTCAGTCTGTGCCACAGTGACTCCGCACAGTTAACGAACACACCGTAGATAATGTAGCTAACCCTCATCCCGGAGCAGCAGAGTTCAGCCGACAGGCAGGAAGACTCGAGCACACAGCTCACGCTTCATATATTAAAAAATAACACCATGCGTGTCATGATGGCCCATACTGTAACAGCTCGCGACCGCGGCGGTTAGATAAAATGTAAATTATATTTGACGCAACTTTAGTTACATTTCCATGACTTTTCCAAAACTTTGGGAAAAATATTGTTTTCCATAACTTTTCCAGGGCCTGGAATTTGCATTTTGAATTTCCATGACTTTTCCAGGTTTTCAATGACCGTACGAACCCTGTTTCAAGCACTTTGTCCCAAATCCAAGCACCATTCCCAAAATCCAAGCACTTTTCAAACCTTGAAAACACCACATTACATTTCAAGCATTTTCAAGGATTTCCAGCACTCGTACGAACCCTGCATTTTATAAATCCCACCGTACTTTAGGCTATACCGGTCTAAATATGTTCAATGTGGTCTATTTATGTAATATAAAGTATAACTTATCTATAACAGAGCCAAGATCTCTGTAAACTTCTGAATGTAATTAAAAACAAGTGTAAACAACAGTGCAGTACGTCCAGCTAGCTAGTTAGCGTCACATATTTATCCGTATTATTTAACGAAAATGTACGTTTTAATGCCTCTTGGGTTTGACGTGTGTAACGTTAGTTAATTTAAAGTAAGTTAAAACCCAATACTCACATTTATTAGTGATTCCTCCGCTTGCTGCTGATTTTAAATCCACTCTGCTGGGGAGACCGGAAGCCATTTCATTTGAAAAAAACTCACTCTTCCCTGCGCGCATTGCACCCTGGGATATGGTAGGCCGCGGAGTGTACATCAGATGTATCCTTCAAATTGGGGATAAGTAGGCTGCATTCGTGGGCCGCATTCGGAGTACACATGCTGCAGAGCAACTATTTCAAGAATACTACGTCATAGAGCAGGGGTGGGGAACCTTTTTCCTCTCAAGGGCCATTTCAATGTTTTCAACATCTTCCGAGGGCCGTACAAATTATTGACCTAGCTTAAAAATACTAAAATCACAGCCCACTCATTTCACCTTTCTTTCATGCTGTGCAAAGAAAAAGCAACCTCTTAATCCAGATATCTCACCATGACTCATGCATGCACGTGCACAGTTGTGGCATGACCACCAAAACAGAAAAATATGGACACAAGATGTGTGCAAATGTATTTAGACTCCTATCCATGTGAACATGATTTAAGTGGGGGTCCGGGGGGGGACCTAACCTCCTCTAGGGGGGTCCGGGGGGCATGCTCCCCCGGGAAGATTTGTTTTTTAAATGTTGAAGTTAAAAAACCCTGTGTAACCCTAACCCTAAAAGCATCAATCTGGTGAACTTTGAGAGAGATATATGGATACATCTCTCAACACCCAGATGAAACACAACTGAAAGCAGATTTTCTTTTTCTTTATGGGTATTTTACAAATCACTCTCCTTTCATCTGTATTCTTGTTTATTAATAACAACTTTTTTTTACTGTCATATAGTATTTTATACCTGCTTACTTTATTCTCTTATTTGTTTTATAACTATAATGATCATATAAAGATGTGCCTTTGCCTCACTGGTTGTAGACAAAGCTTCTTATATTCGTTAGCATAGCTAGCTAACCAGATGCTAATAACAACAAAGTTATTGACTGTATGATCAGTATGACAGATCGCCACTGGGCTTACAACTAAGACACAGCCACGCAAAAACTGCAGCATGTGTACGACTCCTTTGGGTACTGCAATGTTTGGAAGTGCCGGAGCGGAGCTGCGTTCTGGTGCTCTCCGTCAGAACTACACCCCTGTCAGACGAGACATATACCACGTGATGACACGTTAGGCTTGTGTTGTGTTCAAGGACCCTGACCTTGGCCAGGAAAAACAGGCACTCACTTGTTTAATTATTTTGCGGTCTAGATTTCTTTAATTTTTTTATTTTTTGCGTGTGTTTATAAATTACCTCGAGGGCCCAGGGTCGGCGTCATGGGGGGTCATTCGTGGGCCATGCCCCCCCAAATGAGTCCCTGTGCCCCCCCAACGCAGGGTGGGCAAGCCTTATTGCCGCTTTGCCGTTTTTTTTTTAAATTATATAAGTTAAAACGTTTCCACCAAAAGTTTTTTGTGTGAAATACATCAGAAATAAAGAATACACATTTGTATTCTTTATGTATTCTTTATATGAAACACAGCCTGAGGTGTGCTCACTGCTGCTCTCTGATTGGTGTGTTGCTTGACCAATGACCCCGACTTTTGTTTTGTTATCATTACGTGGCTGTGTGTTTAGATGAAAGTCCAGTGGCGATCTGTCCATCTGTTACACTGATTATACAGTAAAGCCATCGAAAATAATATGATATACAGTACAGTACAAGTACATGGGTCTCTGTGTTTCATTCAAGCTCGGCTCTCTGTGTGTGGCACGAGCGCATTTTGTCAGTGCGCGAGCGGTAACGTGGAATATTGTTGTTAGCATCTGGTTAGCTAGCTATGCTAACGGATATAAAGAGCTGTTTCTACACCAAGGTGGAGGAGAGTCCTCTCCTGTCAGACTGAGAGGATCTTATAACGTCAGCTCAGTGAGGTAAGGACTCTCTCAGTGTTTAGATAGTTCACTTTAGTGTAAGTTATCTCAGTGGGTCTCAAACGGTTTGGTGACCATTTATGTAAACAAGTATTTGCGAGGAATAGGCTACCTTTATATGATCATTATAGTTAGCCTATTAAAGAATAAGAGAATAAATGAAAAACGGGTATGAAATACTATAGGACAATAACACAAGAATACCATTTAAAAGGGGAGTGATTAGTAAAATATCCATAAAGAAAAAGTAAATCTGTTTACAGTTCTGTTTCATATGGATGTTGAGAGATGTATCCATAGATCTCTTCATTTTGCTCTCAAAGTGCACCAGATTGATGCTTTTAACTTTAATATTTAAAAAATAATCTTCCCGGGGGAGCATGCCTCCAGACCCTCCTAGAGGAGGTTAGGTCCACCCCCCACCTAAAACATGTTCACATGGATAGGATACTAAATACATTTGCACACTTTTCATATGGTGGCCTATGTCCATATGTTTCTGTTTTGGTGATCGTGCCACAACCATGCATGCACAGGTCATAGGTGCTCTATAAAATAGCACTACACCCCTGCAATGTGTGTGAGAGACAATAGCTTTACAGCATGTTTTTTTAAATTGAAGTTGCGTTGGTGTTTGTGTGTTGGTTGTTGACGGCAGTGTGTGCCCCCCCTTGGTAAATGATTTCCCCCCCATTTGATTTGTTCTAGAGCCGACCCTGCGAGGGCCACACCAAATGGTATCGCGGGCCGTATACGGCCCGGGGGCCGGAGGTTCCCCACCCCTGTCATAGAGTGACGCAAAATGCTGGGCCTTTAACATGCATTTAAATAGTCTTTCGGCGCCACTCGATGACGTAGTATACTTGAAATAGTTGCTCTGCAGCAGTTTTACTCGCGATTGAGAAACGGCCACGGCCTGAGAGGAGAGAGAGAGAGAGAGAGAGAGAGAGGAGAGAGAGAGAGAGGAGAGAGAGAGAGAGGAGAGAGAGAGCGAGAGCGAGAGAGAGAGAGAGAGGAGAGAGAGAGAGCGAGAGAGAGAGAGAGAGAGAGAGTATCAGAGAGGAGAGAGAGAGAGCGAGAGAGAGAGAGGAGAGAGAGAGGAAGGAGAGGAGCGAGATGAGAGAGAGAGATTGAAAGAGAGACTGAGAGAGTTACGGGGGTTGTTGTTGTTAGCATCTGGTGCTAGCTCGGAGCTAACGGAGATCAGAAGCTGCTTCAACAATAAGGAGAGGAAGAGTCCTCTCCTGTCGGACTGAGAGAGATAACGTCAGCTCAGGGAGGTAAAGGACTCTGAGAGATTAGGTTGTAAACTTTAGTCTAAGTTATCTCAGTGGGTCTCAAACGGTTTGGTCATCTATGTAAACAAATATTTCCATCTATGTAATATTAGTTGTATATAAAATAAGTTAAGAAATCCTTCCAATGTGTACAAAATAAAAAAACAGTTTGAAAGGGGAGTGATTAGTCAAATATGCATAAATAAAAAGAAAGAATGCATGTAAGATAAAGATAGGAGAGAGGAGTTTATCAATGATGTGTTATTGCTTGTGAGCATGTTCTAATTGTTTTTTAATTATTGAAATATATACAGTTCTGTTTCATATGAGTGTTGAGAGCTGTATCCATACATCTCTTAATGTTGCCCTCAAAGTGCACCAGATTGATGCATTCAAGCGTGTTCAATTTAAAGAAAAAAATCTGTGCATGCCCCTGTACCCCCCTAGAGGATGTGAGGTCATCACAAATAAAACAGGTTCACATGGATCGGATACTAGATAAGTGTACACACTCATTATATACACTACACATTTTTCTTGGATTTGTTAACACTATAGTCCCAAATATATTTGTAGAAAGGCAGGAAATGGAATTAAATTGAGAAAATGTTTCATCACGGAGGACCCCCTGTTTTGTGTTCCCCCCACTTCACAAACCAAAATTACACCCTTGTGTATCAGTCTTGTTGCAAAAAAAATCCTATATGGTACTTTCTGTCATCATTACAGTAGCTGTACAGTCACATGTAGAAAGATATTCACACATGTTTTGAATAAGTTGAACATCTACAACCCTGTTGGGTTTAAAATGATCAAAACAACTAATTATTTGACCTAAGAAGTCCCACAATCCAAGTTACTGGGTTGAAATGTTGTATTTCAAACTATTTTGAAGATCAATGTTAATGGCATCTGGCTACCAAATGAAGCTCAGCGCAAGTTCCTTCAGGAAAACTGGGTGTACATCCATTCACTCCACAGCTGTATATAATAGGCTCATTATGGGCGTTCTCTTTTAACCAATCACATTTCACCACAATTTCCAGCAGCCAATCATCGTGCTGCAGGGGGGGGGGGGGGGGGTTATCTAATCGCCAAAGACTATTAACATTTATATAATATGCCGTTTGTGTCAATAAATGTTCTTTAAGCAAAAAATGAGTCCCTCTGGATTGAAATACTGTCTACTTTGCAGATGGTAGCAATTTTGGGCTTTCACAAAGCTTAAACACATTTCTGTTAGGCACACTGGGCTAAAATTGTTCCTTTCAAGACACAGACTGAGAAATTACCTTTTGATTTCTAATTTTTCTTTGATTTCAATACCTTCAAACCTTTTCATTGTCATATCATTGTTGGAAATGAAACAATTATTATGAGATGCAGTATGGTCTGTGTAGAGCTGACATTTAGACGTTTTACTTGAATTTGTAACTCCCAAACACAGACACAAATATTTGGATATACCTGGGCCTATAAAGACCGGACAAGTCCAATTTATCCACTATCAACTATTAAGAAACAACACAAACATTAGATCACCAAATGCTGAAGAAATAAAGGAAACCAAAGTCAAGATAAATAGGAACCAGCAGTATCTCAGTGACTAATTTTTCCCTTCCGTTTCGAAGACAGTACCCAAAAAAACTAATGATTTATGATTGATAAATAAAGACATTCAGAATTTTCGTTAATGGTGAATGTTATTTTGATGATTCAGATGATTTTGTCATTTAAAGTGATTAGAAGTTGAACAACTAGACTGTGCCTTGAGTACAAATCAACCTTTTTCAAAGCACTTTTTTAAAAGCAGGGTACTTTGGGGACCATCATTTTCTCTATTCTTACTTTCTTTTTTAAAATCTCTTTGAACTCATGTTCCT